TGAATACGTAGGTTTATCATCGTTATCATGATACGGATTTGGTTAACCACTGTTGTGACTTTTTTACATCGAAGATTTCAGAATAATCTGATCGCTTCACGAGGAAACTCAAATCACACGGTTACGATGGCAGTCTCAATGAATTCAATTTCCAATCACTGTGGTGTACCAGACTCACCGGTCCGTGACCCGACTCTCATTATAGTCGACCAACTTGATGGTAGGCCGCCGTCCAGCTGAGTAACTCACATATTCTATTGGAGTCTCATTCGATACACAGATAGTTTATTTAAACAGCAAATGTTTGGGTTAGCCCATACGGTTTTTCACAGGCACTAGGCACCGTTGATTATCCAGGGAGTGGGTTTCACTCACTACTGACGAGTTCCAAACAGTGGTCTTTGTCGGTTATCACAAAGATTTTATGGGTAGTCTACTTAGCTCATTTAAAAAAAATAATACCAGAGGTACTGGAACAGTGTGGAATGCAGCGGTAGCAAGATAATCCCATCTATTCATGTGCGATAAGTTTACATGAATGAAACTACATATAAACAATATGCAAATAATACTAAATATTAATTAGTCAGAACAACTTGTGAGAAGTTGCCCAACTACAGATTGAAAGAAGCATGAAAAGCAAACCAAACTGAAGACAATACCCATGGTGATAATTTCGAGGTTTCGGACGACAAATTGTTCCCGTATGTACCATTTCGATTTGGAATAATTTGATAGGTTGAACGTGCCTTGTTTACAACGGTCCAGCTTCAATACTGAGGTTACTCTTACAGAAAATCAAGTGCCCGACACCAGACGGTGAAACCCGAGTAGGTCATATTGCCCATGAGGCAAAACTATCTCCTTCTCCATGAAAATGAGGTGTTTGTTAGTGATTGGGAAATAGTAGTTCTCCAAATTAAAGCCTTTTGATTCCGAGTTTGCTGGCGGCTAACTCTGTAAGGGAAAGGAGATAAAAATACGGAATGTGGATGGGAGCTCGGCAGTTTTATTCTGAAAAAAAGGGAGGAATCAAACGGTATCGGTTAAAAGGATTTTTGTCACAGAATGGCCCAACGCTTGCTTGTACTCCGGACTTGGACACATGGCTAAATGGCACGGATATAACAGGGAAACGTCCGACAAAGAGAGACAGAGAACTGACAGGGAAAACTAGGCGATGTGTAGGGAACGGAACAATGACGGGTGTAAACGCGTTCCAACTGATTATCTAGGACAGAATATTGTAGAAGACCCGCCCCAGATGCACCTGACGCATTGTCGACTAGGGCGTAGTTGAGTCTTTTAAAGTAGGTATATAAAAAATAGCCTTATGCGGCAGAAGTATACGGACAATTAAAAGCCCTCTTAGCTGCAAATGTGGGAATGTGAACGATTTCAAACGGAGAGGTTTAGGAAACGAAAGTAAAAATCTGAAAATTCTAACTCATTGACACCTGAAGATCCCATTGAGGTAGTCAGAAACGTGATTGTGATGCGGAAATTATTCACAAATTACATTCCGTGAATCGACGGACATCGGGCTGAGCAATTTCAATAGTCCGGATGATGGACACAATTCCGGTAAATGTGTCTACTTGATCAAGCTTTTCTGAACAGCTGGGTCATACATAATAGTGAGGAGTTCGCTCACCAGTGACTTCTTCTGTACCTAAGGAGCTCCCGAAAGAGTCGACCAAATAGTGCGTTTACACTTACCTCGTAGATAGGACATTCCGATCTCGGTACACATTTTGTAACCAGCTGGTTACCTAAATTTAGCTGGGAGGCAATCCATCTTAGATTAATTGAATTCTTTTGATCTGTCTCGATAAACTCAAATTGTTCCGGGGTTACCGCATTCAGAACAGACAGTATTATGAAAGTAATGTGGATAGCATAGACGAAACTTCTCAGCGATCAAACAAATACAAGAGCGCTAGTCCGGTTTGTGAAAGTTGAAATTTCGGGTAACGCGTTCGATAGTAAGACCTCTCACCTGGAAGTTTAAGCATCAAAACTATTCAACATGAAGATTTTGGTTGGAGTGAGCAGAGACGATTAACAAAAACCACCGTCATTAGCTCATCCAACTGACGAAGCTGATACAGATTCACCTGGACGCATAATGCTCGGTAGGTGATTCTCTTGGTAAGCACCATTTTCGTGTTTTGCTTCCATTAGACCTTATCGGCAGTTCATATGTACTGTTACATCCGGGCTTTGAACTTCAAACCATTCACATTGGAGGGCAAGTGTGACTACTTGGCTAACCAATTCACATCGTGGCTAGACTACCAAATCTTATCGGTGAGAGACAACTAAACCTTTCTTAAATTTCCATTTTGGTGGGAAGCGTTTAGTTGGAGTTAATTGGGTGTAAACTCTCTCTCCCTAAATTACGGTATGGCACCATGAACTGAGTGATTGTTACGGAAAAGGACAAAACCTGAAGTGGTACTTCCGGATAGACCAGTAGTAACGTGCTAGACTCTCGGGTTTTAAGACTGAATGAGTTGTGTTATATGTATTAATATAGAGCTAAGTTGCCGAGCACCCTCAGCGTTTCTGTTGTACTCTTACATATATGTCTACACAGTGATAGCCATTGGCTCAATTTAAAGTCGTTAATCAGAGGCAGATAGTAGAGGATGTGCGTGTGTGTGTGTGTGTGTGTGTGTGCGTGTCTGTGGAAGAGCTTTTAGTATGTAAGCTGATCTGACCTTTCCCCACTTGGGTAAACTTACACATGTTCTGTTTTGGTTTTCACACCAGACCAAGGCTTATTTGAATCCTGACAGGGACACAAAGGTATGCACTAATGACGAGTCCCAAACAGAACGAAACAGGTGTCCAGTGCTTTTGTCAGTCATCACAAATCTTTCTACTACTTATAAATACTTGAACTAGTCGTTTTTGGACAAACAGGTTGGGGCCTAGTAAGCAAATGGCGATCACCAAAACTAAGGTCTTTAAATAAGGAATCAAAAGCCGAAATTATTGTAACTGATTTGTTTCCATTGTATCATAAGCCAGAGAACACTCAGTCGCGAGATTTTAGAATTTCGTTTACTTTTCACAACTCATGATGTAAAGTACACAGGCATATACAGTCAATCTCCTGCTCTGTCGCACCCCTCGGGAATTCAAAAAAGTGAATAAATTCCAGGAACTGCGACATACCAGGGTAAACAGTAGTAGATGCTGATAACTAGTATAAAAATCGGTTGATCGTTTTGTGACAAAATAAATCGGACCGATGAAAAGTAGTTTAATCCTGTTAGTTGTTCCCAATATTTATAATTATAAACTATTTATTTATATAGGAATTTAGATCTACCGTCCTGCGTATCCTGTGTGTATCAAAGAAATTTAAATCTTCCATGACACCCTCAGCCTAATTTGGGTAAATTGCATGCGGTATTCAGCCCTTTTCAGTTCTGTGTCCAGGTATCCAGAACCTACCTACATTTCTTCAGGGGAACGTTTTCTGACCCAATTATCCTATAGTAATTCCAGATATTCCTCCATTCCGTTGCAATGTTAGGCTAACCACAGAATTGATTATATGACGCCCGCCATAATATACAACTGTTTAGCTATAATAATCACATCAGTGTTAACCTGTTCAAGGAAAATAGAGGTGAACCAGTCCGAATACAGTGAGAAAGAAATAACATCTAAAATGAGTGAAATATCTGTTACGGGATATACTCAGAACATTGACCTTTATCCCATTTTCACACT